CGTTGGAAAGACCATTCCACGAGATTTGTAACCATAATTGGAACTACACCTAACTCATCCTGAGCTAGAAGTTATGGCTGCTCAAAGTTGGCCCAAAAACTCACCTTTTCCATACTTAGCCAAAATTTTCCAGATTTTTAAATTCCTTCCAAAAATAGTTAATTCCAATTCAAAGCCTCTTCATAGCTATTTCAAATTGTCAAATGTTACAACACTGGCCAGTAAAGCAACCAAATGTGAAGAGCCACACAATGTCTACAGTTAAGGAGGGAACTACAGATCCAGGACTTTGGCACAAGAGACTAGGACATGTTCCTATGGGAGTACTTAGAAGAATAAATGAGTTTAAAACTAGTAATAGTTTTACTATTGATCATTGTATTGTTTGTCCACAAGCTAGATAGACTAAGATTCCATTTTCTCAGAGTAGTACCACAGTAGATAATATCTTTGACTTGGTGCATATGGATGTCTGGAGTCCAGACAAAGTGACTACTCACAATGGTATGAGATATTTTCTCACCCTAGTTGATGATAAGTCTAGATGGACATGGACCTTCTTGCTTAGTTTGAAGTCTGATGTAATTGTTGTATTGAAACAATTTTTGGCAATGATAAATAATCAGTTTGGAAAGTGTGTTAAGGTGTTCAGGTCAGATAATGGAGGTGAATTTTTGAATTCTAGTTGTTGTGAATTATTTGTGTCTCTTGGGATCATTCATCAGAAATCATGTCCACACACTCCACAACAAAATGGAGTTGCAGAAAGGAAGCATAGACATTTATTAGAGACTGCCAAGGCAATCAAATTCCAAAGTTATTTGCCAGATAGGTTCTGGGGAGAGTGTATAGAAGTTGCAACCTACATTATCAGTAGGATCCCTCTATCTGTTCTGAAAAAAAAGTCACCATATGAATTATTTTATGGTAAACAACCTTCATTGTCACACCTCAGGGTGATAGGTTGTCTTGTTTTTGCTACAGACTTGAACATGCATGATAAATTTGCACCAAAGGCAAGGAAAGTTGTCTTGCTTGGTTATGCTACTAGCCAAAAGGGATATAAACTACTGGATATTGAATCCAAAATACATTTTTATCAGCAGAGATGTCATATTTCATGAGGATGTGTTCCCCTTTCAAACTTCAGGTCTTGGACAAGAAAAGGATCAAGTTGTTTCATTGTCTTATTCACATGTTGAAGATTGTGACCTTACACCTTGTGTTGTATTCAGAAATACAGTAGATGCCCTTGAAACTGTAACTCAACAAGCTGTTGTACCTGACTCCTTTTGTCATGGTTCAATCATTGAATTTGAAGATCAGGTACCCTTGGTTTCTTCTCCTGAACCAAGCATTTTACCAACTCAGTTACCTGTTGCTGCCAGAAGATCTAACAGACCTGCAAAGCCCCCACTCTGGCATACAGATTACATTTTGTCAAAGAACAAAGCTGCAGGTTATTGCTCCTATCCTATTACAGATGTGCTGGACTACCAAAGCATCACACTTGCCTACAAAAGCTTTGCACTAAGTTTTCACAAGAGAAGGAACCTGCTTCTTATCAGGAGGCTATACAAGATCCTAGATGGATTGCAGCTATGGAATGTGAAATACAAGCATTAGAAGACAATCATACATGGGAGATTACTACACTGCCTAAGGATAAGAGGGCAATAGGCTGTAAATAGGTGTACAAGATCAAATATATGGCTGATGGGGAAGTTGATAGGTTCAAAGCAAGGTTGGTAGCCAAGGGTTACAATCAAAAGGAAGGTTTGGACTATCAGGAAACTTTTTCTCATGTTGTAAAAATGGTGACTGTTAGATCAGTCATAGCCTTAGCAGTTGCACAACATTGGCAAGTACACCAAATGGATGTATTCAATGTTTTTCTTCAAGGTGATCTGACTGAAGAAGTTTACATGGATTTGCCCTTGGGGTTTGTCCATCAAAGTGAGAGGGGGACATGGACAGTATGCAAGCTTACAAAGTCACTTTATGGACTTAAACAGGCCAGCAGATAGTGGAATATCAAGTTGACCACAGCCTTAGCTAACTCAGGCTTCCAGCAGAGTCATTATGATTATTCCTTGTTCACAAAATATCAAGGAGAAAAGATAGTGATGGTACTTGTTTATGTTGATGACCTATTGATAACAGGTAATGATCACAAGTTGATCTTGGAAACAAAGAAGATTCTTCAAGACAACTTTAAGATTAAAGATCTAGGTGAGCTGAGATACTTCCTAGGAATTGAATTTGCTAGAAACAGCAATGAGATCCTTATGCATCAAAGAAAATATTGCCTTGAACTGATTTCAGATATGGGGCTATCTAGTTCAAAGCCTGTAGGTTCTCCTGTTGAGTTGAATCAGAAACTTACAACTGCAGAATTTGATTTACACTTCCCTCCTACTGATGAGCAGGATAAGTTGTTGAGTGAGCCTGAAATTTATCAGAAATTGGTTGGTAGATTGCTTTATTTGACAATGACAAGGCCAGACATTGCATTTGCAGTGCAACTGCTGAGTCAATTTATGCACAGTCCTAAGACATCCCACATGAAGGCAGCATTAAGGGTGGTGAGGTATGTTAAACAATCACCAGGCTTAGGGATACTTATGGCATCTACTGCTGACAATCACTTTACTGCATATTGTGATGCAGATTGTGTGTGTTATCTTGTCCATAGGGACCTGCATATAAGTGTATTGTTGTTGTGAATGCACTGATCCTCCTCCAATAACTGCATTGACCTTCTTCCTTCCTTTGAAATTTTCAGGATATCCAATTAGCAAGTAACAATTCTCCTTCACATGTCCAGTTGTATGGCAATGATCACATTTTTTGAGCTTGTTGCAATCTTCCCTAACATGTCCTTTCATATTACAGAAGTCACAATAAAGAGACTGATAATTCTTCCTTGGATTCTACCTATTGTTGAATTATTGTGGTCGACTTGTCCTATTTGTATACATTGCCAAAGACTCCATTCCTTCATTGATATTGCCAACAATCCCCTTTTGACATTCATCCTGTATGACTAAAGCATAGGCTTGGTTCACATTAGGCAAAGTGTGCATCATGAGGATTTGACCTCTTGCTTGTGAATAGCTATCATTCAAGCCCATCATGAATTGAAGTAAACGCTGATATTGCATTTGTTCCACATACTCCTTAGACTTAGAACAATCACAACTAGGTGGAGGCAGAATAAAATAATACTCATCCCACAAGTTTTTCAATTTTGTGTAATAAGCAGAAACAGACAAAACTCCCTGTGTAAGCGTAAATATACTTCTATGCAACTGATACAATCTCGATCCATTGACCTTATCAAATCTCTCTTTGAGATCAATCCATACTTGATGTGCACTAGAGGAATAAATGATTCCACTAAGCAGTTCCTTACTCACGTTATATGTAAGCCAAGAGATGACGATAGCATTGCAGCGATCCCAAATCTTCTTCAATTCTCCTTCGAAATCAATACGCAGCACATATCCATCGATAAATCCTAATTTGTTCCTTCCAAGCAGTGCGATCTCCATTGTTCGACTCCAAATTATGTAATTCTCCATTCCGGTCAATTGAATCCCAATCGATAAAGCTCTTGGCACATCAGAAGAACTCAAGTACAACAGATGATTATGATCAAGAGTAACTGAGCTTCCATTAATGGTGTCTACTGTTGCTCTGCCACTCGATCCTCCTGCAGATGCATCCTCAATCGCTATGAATTAATTCCTGCAAACTTTGATACAACAAAGCTGTAAAATCCTTAGAACTAAGCCCTCGAAATCGTTCCCAATTGCTTTGATACCATGTTAATTTCAGTAACTCTCAACAAGCTAAAATGAAGAATTGAACAATTCTGATTAACGGAGAAGAAAGAGATTCTGCATTGATAAAAAATGTGAATATACAAGTCTAACTGAAAAGATGCTTTACAATGCTTTATATAGAAGCAGCTAGCTATCTAACTGAATAACAAAACTCTAACTAACTTTCTATTGTTAATTAAAAACTAATCGTCAGCTCACTAACACTAATCAATAGCTTTACACTTAACCAGCTGCTCAACAGAATTAACGTGCAATTTATCTTTTGCTTTGAGATCACAAACAAATGAATATATCTAATTAAGCATTTGAGGAAAATCTTGCTTATGAAAAGAATATACTACTAATCTACTATTAGAAGTAGACTATATTATATAAGTATTATAAAGAGTAATGCTAAATGGCCAGAAAATTTGGCAAGAAATTTAAAAAGTCCATAATATCCTTTTTATTTTAAAATAAATTGATCTTTTTTCCATTTTTTAATTAAAAGGTATTAAAGTTAAAGGGTAAAAATATTCAAAAAAATAAAATAACATAGTATGAAATATGTAATTTTACCATTCTGACCAAATTTTCTGGTCAAAAGGATTTTTCCTTTTAGAGATTACGTATGATAAATGGGGTGGAAATTAAGGTACACCATTCTTTAATTATTTGACTAGCTAGACTAGCATGCATGTCAATTCGGAGTTTTAATTATTTAATTTAGTTTAACTATATTTTTTTCCCGATTTTCTATGAACATTAGGGTCCGTCTAACTAGATTTGCACTGAAAAGTTCCATGTTGGGAGTAAAAGAATTCCTAAAAATAGCGATTTCATTTGTGATAAAACTCAAATTCGTGACCGTTGGTTAAGAATAAAGAGCTAGGTATGTACTCCACTGCAAGTACCTTTAGTAATTTTAGTTTTATTTAGTCCAAGAGAGTGGCTCATTTGATCTCGAAGTAATAAATTAGTAATATTTTCCTATTATAAGTCAAAGTCGTTCACGCACGCTTCGATACCAATGTTAGGTTCAATGAAATATTAAAGTTTATGCACTTGCTGTGTAGTTAGACTAATTAATTAATATATTCATTAATTAATCCCATTGGCATATTGTAATGACTTTCAAATCTAAGAAGTATTGAGAATGTATTTATACGTATGCAGTTAGTATAGTATAGTCAGTCATATTAATTAGTCATGTTAATTCAGTTTGATTGGTTAGTTGTAGTTTGTTAGAACTGTCAGTTTGTTATTCAGTTAGTCATGAACTTGTTAGGTGCTATAAATACACATGTACATGTATGTAATCATTTGCGAAGTCTTATTCAAAAATACAGTTTTCTCTCTTCTTCCCTGTATTGACTTTTCCCTCATATGTGAGTTCCTCCATTGATGCTAACATTCAAAGCTTGAGAACCAGTTATGAATTGTTGAAATTAACATGATATCAGAGCCTATCATCGATATTTCTAGCTTCCTCTGTTTCTCAGCTTTCTAGCAATTATTAGCTATTTTTAGCTTGTTAGTTTCTCTTCGTTTACTTCTTCTACTAAACTCACAATGTCTGCTACTGCTGCTGCTACGTTACCTGCAATTGCTACTGCTGGATCTACTTCCATTGATATGAGTGATCCTTTTTATGTACATCCATCTGATAACCCTGGATCATTGATTGTTCCCGTTCCTTTTGATGGAATGGGCTATCGATCCTGGAGAAGAAGCATCCTCCGATCTCTTTCAGTGAAGAACAAATTGGGATTTGTTACTGGAGATTGTAAGAAGCCTGCTGCAAATTCTTCCCTATTGCATCTTTGGTAGAGATGCGATGACATGGTGACGTCTTGGATTCTGAATTCTCTTGCCAAAGAGATTGCAGACAGTGTTGAGTACGTTAACGATTCAGTTGAATTGTGGAAAGAGTTGGAGGATCGTTATGACCAGGCCAATGGTGTGAAATTGTATCAACTTCAAAAGAAGATCAATGACCTGAATCAAGGCGTGTTGGACATCACTTCCTACTACACCAAGATGAAGAAGCTATGGGAAAAACTCAACAATTTGATCGCCAAAGCTCAATGAACTTGTGCCTGTGTTTGTGGTGCCAAGGATAGCACACACAAAGCTGAACAAGACAGGCGTCTAATTCAGTTTTTAATGGGTCTAAATGAAGTCTACACTATCGTCTGAGGCAGTGTTCTTATGATGAATCCCCTGCCCTCAATGGCACAGGCTTTTTCAATACTGATACATGAAGAGAAACAAATAGAATTTAAACCTAGAAGCCAGATGTTAATGGACTTTGTCTCTCTTAATGCAGGTTCTTCTAACCCAAGGAATTTTAAGACAAGTTATTCCACAGGGAATGGCAACCAGAACAAGGGAAACTTTATCTGTGAATACTGTAAACGACCAGGACACACTGTTAGCAAATACTACAAGCTGCATGGATATCCCCCGGACAATTCTCAGTCCACTAGTACTCAAAATGCAGGTTACAACAGGAACAATCAGAGGTACAATAACTCTAGGCCCAACAAAAACAACAATAACAACAGGATTGCAGCAAATGCTCATGGGCCTTCTGGTGATGAAATGTCTGGGAAGGGTGAAAATGATAGCAAAGAAGAACAACCTCTAAGTCTCACTAAGGAATAATATGGACATGTGATGAACCTGCTTCAACATTTCCAAAGCAGTGAGGGCTCCAACATCCCCAATCTTGCAAGTGGAGCAGTAAACTTTCCAGGTATTGTGGTTTGCACCTCTTCTATAGATTTTGAGAAACTTTCATGTATACATTTTAAATCAAAGGCTGACTTGTGGATTATAGACTCGGGAGCTTCCAATCATATAACTTTTAACCAAGCCTCATTATCAAATCCTAAGACCCTACCATACCCTTTACTTGTTTCACTCCCTAATGGATACAAAGTGAAAGTAACACAAACTGGTGATGTAGTACTCACACCTAACATCATTTTGCATAATGTGTTGTTTGTACCATCCTTTAAATAGAATTTGATTTCAGTCCATTCCTTAGTGACAAATCTCAAAGGTGTTATGTCTTTTACTGATGCCTTTTGCTTGTATCAGGCCCCTTTACTGAAGAGGCCTCAGGTGATTGGTAGGAGTAGAGATGGACTCTATTTTCTATGTTCAAGATGCTTGACAACTGACTCCAAGCACTGCTTACCTGGAAAATCTTTTAATTCTTTCAATTCTGATTCCAGTAGTCTGCAAACTGCTGTAACTGGAAAATCTTTCAATTCTTTCAATTCTAATTCTAGTAGTATGGAAACTGTTGTAATGGATTCTGTAAACTCCCTTTCAAGTAATAAAAATGAGTTACATTTTGTGAATTCTTGTTTGTCTCTTGAAACTAATGAAGATTTATTATGGCACACTAGACTAGGCCATGTACCTTTTGGTCAAAATGAGGGCTATCCCATCCATACCAGCCAAATTTTCCCAGAAACAACCTTTTCTATACACTGTCTGTCCTATGGCTAGACAGACCAGGTTACCTTTCCCTCAAAGTACCAAAACCACAAGCAAGATTTTTGAGCTTCTTAATGTAGATTTGTGGGGTCCCTGTCATGTATCTACTCATGATAATTATAAGTATTTTCTGACTACGGTGGATGACCATAGCAGATCCACATGGACTCACCTTTTGAGCTGCAAAAGCAATGCATTACAGACTATAAAAGCCTTTGCCACCATGATTGAAAACTAGTTTTCTACCTCTCTCAAAAGCATTAGGATAGACAATGGGCTCGAATTCACTAGTAATGAAGCACTCTCATTTTTCCAGTCAAAGGGCATAATTCATCAGAAAACTTGCCCATACACACCACAGCAAAACAGTGTGGTGGAGAGAAAGCATAAATATCTCCTTGAAACTGCTAGAGCCCTTCTTTTCCAATCCAAATTACCTTTAAAATATTGGGGGAGTGTGTATTGACTGCTACACATCTTATAAACAGACTTCCTACATCTTATAAACAGACTTCCTACATCTTATCTGAATAATAAATGCCCTTTTGAAGTCCTATATAAGAAACAACCAAACTATTCTTACCTTAGGAGCTTTGGTTGCCTTTGCTACCCTACTATTCCTAAGGTGCATAGAGATAAGTTTGAACCAAGAACAAACCCCCATGTTTTTGTAGGATACCCCTTTGGGACAAAAGGATACAAGGTACTGTGTCTAACTACCAAAAAGATACATGTTTCTAGAGATGTGGTCTTTCATGAAAATGTTTTCCTTTTCGCTTCATCTTTACACAAAGGCACTTTTCCTTCTGTTTTGAATTCCATTCCTTTCATACAACCACACACTAATGCATATGATGTTGTAGACTGTGATACTACTGATAACATTTTATCTCAACCTATATCACCACTGCCTAATAATAATGACATCATCGAGCCTCCTTTACCTCAGGAATTGCCTTCCTCTTTGCTCCCAGGACCAGGAGACACAGTTAGACGATCACATAGAAACCACCAAGTACCTAAACATTTAAATGACTATTTCTATTCCTTACCCTCACATAAAACTATCAATACAGCAGCCACTACTCCCACATTGCAACCTCCCATCATGCCACTAAATGCCATTTTCTCAAATAATAGCCATGTTGCTCCTGAAACCTTGAGTCTCAATAATCAATTACTTGTTCAAAATGTATGTCATGACAGTGAACCATAATCTTATGAAGAAGCATCACTTTATCCTGCTTGGCAAGCTGCTATGACACAAGAATTTGAGGCCCTTCACAATAATAAAACTTGGGATCTGGTTCCTTTGCCAGTTGGGAAGAAAACTATTGGTTGTAAATGGGTGTACCAAGTCAAACATAAAGCTGATGGTAGTGTGGAGATATAAGGCACGATTGGTAGTAAAGGAGTATACTCAACAAACAGGCATAGACTATACTGAGACTTTCTCTCCTGCAGTGAAGAGAGGTTGGGACATTTTCCAGTTAGATGTTAATAATGCCTTCTTACATGGAGACCTCGATGAGGAGGTTTACATGGACCTACCCCCTGGTCTTGAGGTAACTAGTTCCCCTGCAGTATGTAAATTGAACAAGTCACTTTATGGCTTGAAACAGGCCAGCAGACAGTGGTATGAGAAACTGTCAGAGGCTCTCTTTTCAAAGGGTTACACCCACTCCATAAGTGACTATTCCTTATTTCTGAAGAAATCCAATCATTCTTCTATTTTTGTAGCAGTATATGTAGACGATGTGATCATCACTGGGACTAATCCATCAGATATTCTTCAACTCAAGCAGTTCCTTCATGACACCTTCAAAATTAAGGATCTTGGTAAACTTCATTATTTTTTAGGTCTGGAGATATTGTATGGAGAGAGAGGTATCATAATGTCCCAAAGGAAGTTTATCTTAGATTTACTCAAGGAATATGGTTGTCTCCAATACTCCAGCTTCTCTTCTCTACCTGATCTAAATGTTAAACTGAAAGCCAAAGAAGGCATTGTTCTGTCTGATCCTACATTCTATAGAAAAAGTGTAGGCAAGTTGAATTTCCTTGTCAACACCATATTAGAGATAGCTTATGGTGTCCAACATTTAAGTCAGTTCATGCAAGATCCCAGAGAACCCCACATGCAAGCCACTTATCACTTACTCAGATACCTCAAGAATGATCCAACCTTAGGGATCTTTATGTCTTCAACCCCAGACTACTCAGTTCATGCCTATTGTGATTCGGATTAGGCAAGATGTCCTGATTCTCGAAGGTCTGTCTCTGGTTACATTGTACTTTTGGGGAAAACACCTATCAGCTGGAAGTCTAAGAAACAAGAAACTATTTCCTTATCTTCAGCAGATATCTCACTTTTTTTATGTTCACAATTGTAAGGGGACCAATGTAAGAGAGTGTGAGTAGGATATTCATTTAAATGGCGGAACCTAACTCATATCTCACATTACCTTAAACAGAGACATCTATGGGACAGAGAATTCAACACCTAATTCTAACGGTATACTCCTATTTCAATTAATTTACTCTACTTCTTTTATTTTAAAAAATAAGTGTTCATTTAACTAATTTTAAAAGGAGACATTTAGTATTTGCAGTAACGGTAGAAATATCAAATTATTAAACCATACTATGAAGATTTAAGAAGAAGGAACTAAATATGATAGGGATCATGTCTATTTTCGATAACCAGTTTGAATGAATCATGGTGTGACGTATAGGAGACCGGTGAAACAATGTAAGAAAAGGAACATGGACTTCACATGGTGGTCATTGACTTAAAAAAAATTATTGACAAGACTCTGAGGGAGGTTCTATAGAGGTGCATGGATACCAAAGGCGTTTTCATTTTATATATCGAAATAGTTTATCTTCCTGAATAAACTGATTTTTTTATTTCGATCCCGAACTATTCAAATTTCTTTTAAGCTGTTACAAATTTTAGAGATGAGCTCCTATTAACATTTTGAATTTTTTGATATCTTATTCACTCAAAATAATTCATATTTACGACATGTAAGAGTTTTAAAATTTGTGTTAAGCGCTGAATATATAAAGAATTATTTGCTTGACTATTATTAATACAATAAAACAAAATAGCGGTTGGTGAAAAAAGTGTCGGAAATGATAGATTTTCTTAGGTCTAGGAAAGGGGAAACTGTGAAGATTTCTGAAATTCTGTTTGGTATCATTTAAAACACGTTAGGGAACCTTTTCTTTTCAAAAGATTTATGTCATTTGGATTATGAAAGAAACACCAGTGAGATCAAACGTGTTTTTAGTAAATTTATAGAATTGGGAGCTATGCCAAATATATCCCTTCTTGATTCCTCGTCGTGCTCCTGAGACGTGTAAGATTATGAATTACACCATCCCCAAAGAACTCGAAGTTGTTTGTGAATGTTTACGCAATAGGGGGTGACCCCAAAAAAACAAATACTCTTTCTGTCTTTCCTTTTACACGCATATTAAAAAATTATAAATAAAAAAATAATTTTATTAATTCATTTCAAAAAAGAAATTTAATTGATGTTTTCTTAATTTAGTAAGTTAAACAACTAGTTCATTTGTCCCTAATTACTTGTCCGCTTTTCTTTTTTAAGTTATTCTTAATTATTTGTCCATTTAGACAAATCAAGAAACGATAAAATTGTTTTACCTATTATACCCTTAATTAATTACTTTGAAAATGTAGAATTATTTGAATGTTTTAAGTTTTAATTCATCCATTTCATAATTAATAAGGATAAATTGATAAACTTAATATGTCAATAATTATTTTCTTAATAGGTGTGCCAATTTTAAACATGGACAAGTAATTAGGAATAGAAGAGTATTTTTACTTCAAAAGTAAAATAATCAACTAATATGAAAAGTGAGTGTTTAGTTCGGCATGATTACCGTGGAAGAAAATCACATGCCGGGATTTTGGAAACATCTTTAAGTTTCTTAAAGTTATTTAGGAAGGAAAGTAAACTATATTTAGATGGATGAGTAAGAACCTCTTTGGATTGATTTAAAAAATAGCTTAAAGTTAAAAACTAAAGGTCAAATTGAAATGACTTTTAAGTTAAAAAATAAAAAGTAGGGGGGGTGGGGATACTTTTAGTTTTTAACTTATTTTAAGTTCTTTTTTTTCTTCGCCAAACACTTTCAGAAAATCAAATATTGACTTAAAAGTAGGTTTGACAAACTTTTAAACCAAACCACACCCTCTAAGTCAACTTCAATTATTTGTATAATATTCTCTTGTTCAATATAAACAATAAAAAAAATATTAAAAACGTGACTGGATATTAATTAAATAAAAATTAATTAATATATTCTTTTTGATTCTTCTAAAAAATATAGATAATCATTATTTGGAATTTAAAAATACTTGAAAACTTTATAACTATTATTTCAAAAAAAAGGGTAATTCTAATTTTTTAAAAAATGAATAATACATTTTTATTTTTTTAAGAAAATCATTCATGAACTATAAGAAAAATGTTAACAAAGTCGGTATAATATTCTCTTTTTACGTTGAAAACTGTCGTCGTTTTGCTCCCTTACACTTTGTTTTAGATGATTGTTCTGAAAAATCGTATTGTACTGTTTTAATAAATACATTGTTTGAACAGATTGTATCGGTCTCTATTGTAAGATAATGTCACATATCCATAATTTGAATGATAAATCTATATAAATAAATAAAAAATGAATAGAGCTACTATGAAAAGATAGGGATAAAAAATGAAATACGACTATTAAATAATAATTAATAAATAAAAATAAAATGCAAAGAAAGTATTTTGGTAACAATGTGATTACACCAAATGGATCGTTATATAAAATGAGTATTTTCTTCATTAGCTAAGAATGAATTTTAATGATACAATACAATTTAATACAATACAAGTCAACCATTAATGACTTAAACTACTATACTTATATATGGGTATGGCAATAGACAATCTTCTCATCATACTTGCATGTGTTATTTGGTATGTTATTGTTGTCAAATATATCAGATTTCTATCCTCTATTTGAGGCTCTAGATCTGCAGGGATTGAGAAAGCAGACGGAAATATATCAGAGTCAATTGATCAATATCTGGAGTGAAATTGTAAAGGAAAAAAGGCAGGCAATTAGCAGTCATAGCTCGGATATTTTGGATGTCATGATTGATAGTGGATTCCCAGATTTACAGATCATGAATATCTTAGTGACAGTAATATCTCAACTTTTTAGAACCAATATACTCTGGTTTCAAATAGATGTGAAATTTTTAGGCAAAACTAATTGAGGCTGACATGACACAATCTTGTTCTTGAATTTCAGGAATTAGTGGGTGCGGGTTCTAACACCACAACCTCAACAATTGAATGGGCAATGATAGAGTTGCTGAGGAACAAGGGTGCTATGCACAAATTTCAGGCTGAGCTTACAAGTAATTTAAGGGAAACTGATATAATCACAGAATCAAACATCAGTGAACTTCCATATTTGGCTGCTATTGTCAAGGAGACATTGAGAATCCATTCACCTACTCCCTTCTTGATTCCTCGTCGTGCTGCTCCTGAGACGTGTAAGA